GAAGGAGAAAGGCTGGACACACCCAAATTCCTTCATCTTGCTTCCTGAACCCTCATTCTAAAAAACCCCAAAAATCTTTTTTTTACCCTGTGACAAACTAACCCTTATTCTACTTAAACCCTCTTGACTTGTAATTATTCATATAAAGGTTGGTAATTGTTTTTTCCAAGGGCTAAATCAAAGGCACAGGGGTCTTGGGCTCTGTGCCAAGGTCACTGAGACCCTCGAGCAGGGTCTCGAGCCCTCCAGGGCAGCCAGAGGAATTTCCTGGGTTCTGACACACACTCTTGCCTTCTCTCTCTTTACCACTGTCTTTACCTCTCCCTCCCTTTTTGGGGCCTGCTCTGAGCTGTGGCTGGCAGCTCCCAGCAGGGCCCTGCTTGGGGCCCTTTCCAATAAACCACCCAGGCCCTTTGCAATAAACCACCCAGGCCCTTTGCAATAAACCACCCAGGCCCTTTGTAATAAACCCCAAGTTCCAAGGCCTGGCTTCAGAGATCTCTGGTCTCTGTCCATCCCGATCGTCGTACCCCCGTCCATGGCTCCCGCACGGAAGCTCTGAATGGGAGCTCCTTTCCCAAGGCTGCAGCTGCAGCGTGAATGGGAGTGGGGCGGATTCCCTCTGATCAGTAGGGCCTTGTTCTGCCAGGGGAGGAGCTCCCAGGGGCTCTGCCGCTCTCTTTGTGCCCTCTTAGAATCTCTGCTGGTCACAGTGACTCTGAGATACGTACAAGCCTCTTTTCCCAGCCCGACCCTCGAAGAAGGAGTCAGGATTCCTTTGTTCTGGTTCTCAAGGTTGTTTATTGTTTCTTATCTCTGTCTTTCTTTCTCTGACCCGCTGAGGTCTGTCCAGCAGGTTGGGTTGGGGCACGCTGCCCACCCTCAGGGTGGTATTATCTTTTTATACTAAAAATTACGTCTGCATTATTTACCATAACTTCCCAATACCTATCACCTATGTTAGACAGTGAGCTTCTACCTTAAACCAATCCAGAAGTGCCACCATCACAGCAGAAGATGGAGGCCAAGAAGAAGGAGAAAGACAGGACACGTGCAAATTCCTCCATCTTGCCCCTGAACCCCCATTCTAAAAAAACCCCCAAATTCTACATTTTCACCCTGTGACAAACTAACCATTATTCTACTTAAACTCTCTTGACTTGTAATTCTTCACACAAAGTTGGAAATTATTTTTTGCAAGGGCTAAAATCAAAGGCACAGGTGTTTGTGACTCCGTGCCAAGGTCTCTGAACCCCTGCCAGGGTCTAGAGTCCTTCAGGGCAGCCAGAGGAATGTCTTGGGTTCTGACACTCCCCTGCCAAGCCAAGCCTGACTCCAAAATGTGGATTGGTGCTGGGAAACCCCAATTCCAAAGGGCAGGGGAGACGCGGAGCCCTCAGAACATGGAGGCATTCTCGTGATGTGCAAATGGCATGTTTGGAAAGTTTTGGGAGTATTTCCCAGAGCTTGCTATTGTTTGGTGAAGATTTTTATTATTCCTAACAGAGTCCAAGGGAGATTTTGACTGGGAATGTTGGCTGGCTGAGGCTCTGCTGGGGTGGAAGTTATGGCTGGGTGAAGCTTTGCTGGTCAAAGCTCCATGGCCCAGTGTTCCCCTCCTGAATCCTGGAAGTCATTTAGGACAGACCTTGGCTTGGGAAGAGGCTTTGAGAATGATAACAAACCCCATTTAGTCCTGACGCCTTCTGGCAAGGATGGTTTCATTTGTAATTCCTGAAATTTATGGGATTTCAGGTTTCATTTGTAATTCCTGGAATTTATGGGGCTTCATGCATGAACCTCTCCCATGTTCCAGTGGCTGCCCCTGGATCCCTGGCAGTGCCCAAGTCCAGGCTGGACACTGGGGCTTGGAGCAGCCTGGGACAGTAGGGGGTGTCCATGCCATGGCAGGGGTGGCACTGAATGGAATTTACGGTCCTTCCAACCCAAACCATTTCAAGATTCCATGATTCCCTGACTGTAACTCCCTATTCTTTTCTCCTTTAGCAGAGAAATATCAATGTAAAGGCCCATTCCTGAATATTGGGAATATTGGGAATATTCCCTTCATAAGTGTGGTTTGACCATTTATCTGCTCCACTGAGTCCTATTTGCTGAAAACCTCAACAATCTTCCTAAATTTCTTAATATTTTTTAGATTAAATCCGATTTGCCATGTCTGTGGCTGCAGAAATCCAGAGATTTCTGTTTGCTTTTTTGGGATTGGAGCTGAAAGTGAAACTTGTGGTGTAAATAAAGGGAAACTGCTGTATCCAAACCCTCATTTCCATGTTCTCTCTGTCTGGAGTGTCGGGATGAAAGGGATGTGTCCCAGCCTTTTTATCCCATCCCACTTTGCTCCTGAAGGATGGCAAAGGGCTCCCTTTCATCTGCAGGATTATGGAAATGGCCCCACCAGCTTGGGCTGACGTCGGTGCTTTTATCTTTTGCTTCAAGTTTTGAAGGATTATCCATGGTTCCCTTGTACCCTGTCTCAAGATTTGATGGGAAGTGGGAGCAAAGAGCAGCTCCTTGCTGGAATTGTTCAGGAAAAATGATGAAACCCAGGAGAGAGGAAGGGAGAGGGAAATAGGAGCCGGCTGGATGTTGGTGATGACCCCACAGGATCTGGTTGTACCTGGATCCCTGTTTTTGACACCTTCTTCCAAAAATAAACCTCCTTAAGCAGAAAACATGGCACAATTCCCAGTTTCCCAGCTGGAATTCCAAACCAGGGATCCATCAGCTGCTGGAGGCATCAGCTGATGGAAGAAGAGCTCAGAGGTTGTGAGCAAAGAGACCCTGGCACAGATGGCAGAGCTGACTGGTTTGGGGTCTGGATTTTTAGCCATGAGCCCAATTCCTTTGGTTTTAAATTACCTGAACAAGGAATTCATGCTGGGAAGGCTTTGAGAAGTCCAAAAATGGGAGGAACAGGAAGAGAGGGCTTGGATTGTGAATCTCTGCTCTCCTAAAGAGTTTCCTCTGGTTACCAAGGACTGGACTGAGGCTGGAGCTGTCCAGGAGGGATAGGATGAACAGTAGGGAAAGGTTCCACTATTCCAGAGGGTGCTGGCACTGCCCAGGCTCCCCAGGGAATGGGCACAGCCCTGAGGCTGCCAGAGCTCCAGGAGGGTTTGGGCACCACTGCCAGGGATGCCCAGGGTGGGATTGTTGGGGATCTGGGCAGGGACAGCAGCTTGATCCATAATCCTTGTGGGACCCCCCTACTCAGGATATTCCATGAATGCGATGTTCCCAGTTCTCCCAGTGCCAGGACAGGTACAAAGGAAGATCTTCCCATTTTTCTTTTGTTCCTGCTTCCAAATGCAGACAAAGCAAATTCCTCCTGGGTGAAGCCCAAATGAAGCAAACTCTGATTTTATGGCAGATTCTTGTATTTGCCTCTAGTGCTTGGTTTGTATTCCTTTAATATTGAAATAAGATTCCTATCTAAAGCAGAACACCCGGGAATATCTCCCTGTAATAACAAGGATGGGAATGTGATTTGGAATGTAACATTTTTATTGCCTTTCCCTTTTTATTACCACATTTGCTGGCATTCTTGGCCCAGAAAGTCAATCCTTCACCTTCATTCCTGGCTTTTTTTTCGGAATTGCTGCTTTTCCTGGCCTAGCAATGGATATTTATACATTGCTTCATCATTTATGCAGCTTAAAGGATGCCTTGGAGCAAAGCCTGGATCCAGCAAGGGTGGATCCTTCTCCCCAGGGGACACAGGATGTCACAGTTCAGAGTGGGATTTTACATTTATATTTATAGGTTTTTATTTATTTTTATTTTTATTTTATTTTTATACTTTCTATTATACTTATATCTATAATCTCCAATTAATTGCTGCCCTGTCTCTTATTATTGAGCATTTACTTGTCTTCTATTACATGGAAATATTTCATGGAAAAGGAGAGAAAAGAAAAGAGAATTAAATTTAATCACTTCTTTCCGAGGTCAGCAGCATCTCCCCATCAACCTGTGCTGACTGCTGCTGCTACACCTGGAATTTTATGGGAATTATGGGAATTAGGTGTGAGCTGAAGATTGCACATCCCAGAGAGGAAAAAACGCCCCTGTCCAGGGTGGTTCAGTCTCTCCATATACAAAGAGATGATGTCCCAAGGGAGATGCTTCTCTGCATTCCAACTCCAGGGATTCATCCCACTTGGCAGCCAAGTTCCCAGGAGTTCACTGGGGAGAAGGTGGATGGAGAAGGATGGATGAGTGGCAGGATCTGACTTGAGGAGAACAGGCTTCCCATGCCAAACAAATTCTCGACTAATTCCTTTTTCCAAGATTTCCAATCCAGTGAGTCGGCACCTGTCCCACACACAGGCGTGTTCCATCCCAATTGTAACTGCAGGGCTGTCCATCCATCCATCCATCCATCCATCCATCCATCCATCCATCTACCAAGCCATCCATCCCTACCTGCCTCTGCACGCCCTGGGAATGTGGCTGCCCCTGGATCCCTGGCAGTGCCCAAGGCCAGGTTGGACACCGGGGCTTGGAGCAGCCTGGGACAGTGGGAGGTGTCCCTGCCATGGCTGGGGTGGCACTGGATCAGATTTAAGGTCCCTCCCAACCCAAACCATTCCATGATTTTGTGATTCCATGGCTTTAAGTGTCCCTGCTTTTCTTTATCTCCTTCTCCTTTCCTTACTGGAACCACCAGTCAGAGCTGGAACAAGAAACCAGTGAGTGCCAGGACACAGGGAATGGCTTCCCACTGCCAGAGGGCAGTGATAGATGGGATTTTGGGAATTAGGAATTCCTGGCTGTGAGGGTGGGCAGGCCCCGGCACAGGGTGCCCGGAGCAGCTGTGGCTGCCCCTGGATCCCTGGCAGTGCTCAAGGTTGGACACTGGGACTTGGAGCAGCCTGGAATAGTGGAAGGTGTCCCTGCCTATGGCAGGGGTGGGATGATCTTTAAGATCCCTTCCATCCCAACCATCCCCTGATTCTGTGATCCCTGTTGTTCTGCAGCATCCCCTTCCATCAAGCTCCTCGTGGACGACCCCATCGTGGTGAACCCTGGAGAAGCCATCACTTTGGTGTGTGTGACCACCGGCGGGGAGCCGGCGCCCAGCCTGACGTGGGTGAGGTCTGTGGGGGTCCTGCCCAACAAGACTGTCCTGAACGGGGGCACCCTGACCATTCCCGCCATCACCTCCGAGGATTCCGGCACCTACAGCTGCATCGCCAACAACAACGTCGGCAATCCCGCCAAGAAGTCCACCAACATCATCGTAAGAGGTGAGTTCAGTTGGAAAACCATGGACTTTTCGCCTGGAAGATTATTCCAGTCCTAATCCCGTGGGACAGCAACATTCAGGGTTCAATGTTCAGTGTTCAACATTCAATGTTCGCTATCCATCATTCAATGTTCATTGCTCAACATTCAATATTCAATGTTCAACATTCAGCGTTCAACATTCAAAATTCAATGTTCAACATTCAAGGTTTACCGTTCAATATTCAACGTTCAATGCACAACATTAAATATCTGATGTTCAATGTTCAACATTCAAAATTCAGTGTTCATTGTTCAACATTCTATGTGTAATGTTCAACATTAAATATCTAATGCTCAATGTTCAACATTCAAAATTCAATGTTCAATGGTCAACATTCAAGGTTTAACATTCAACATTTAATATTAATGCTCAACATTGAATATCTAGCATTCAATATTCAATGGTCAACATTCAATGTTCAATGTTCAGCAGTGGGTGTTTCCTCTGTTTCCAAATGGTCCTGGTTGGACTAAATATTGAAGGTCTCTTTCAGCCTTGATAATTCTCTTACTCCAGGATTTCTGAACACTTCTAATCATTTATGGGATGAATTATTGTTGGTTTCCAAGACTTCCAGAGTTCTTGTCCTGGGATCAAAGCCCTGAGGTGGAACAAGGGTGGTTTGGTGCCTTTTTGTGTTGGGGTGATGCAGCAGCTTTTCCTTGCAAAGTGGAGAGAAATTGGTTAGTTCAGCCTGGAGGGCATTGACTGGAGACCTCACTGTGGTCTTCAACATCCTCCTGAGGAGCAGCTCTGATTGATGGTCCCTGTGACAGGGACAGGAGCCAGGAAATGGCTGGAGCTGGGCCAGGGCAGGCTGAGGTTGGATCTCAGGGAAAGGTTCCACTATTCCAGAGGGTGCTGGCACTGCCCAGGCTCTCCAGGGAATGGGCACGGCCCTGAGGCTGCCAGAGCTCCAGGAGATTTTGGACAGCAATTCCAGGGATCCCAGGGTGGGATTGTTGGGGGGTCTGTGCAGGGAAGGATTTGGACTCCATGATCCTTGTGGGTCTCTCCCAGCTCAGGATATTCCATGGTTCTATGAAAAGATCTCCAAAGGCCTTGGATGCATCCCAAGCTCCTGGAGTTCTCATTGCCTCCTTCATCTCTTCCTTCCTCCTTATCTGAAGCTGTTCCTGAAATAAGGGCTGGGAATGTCCTCCCTGGTGGGGAGCTTGAGATGGATCCCTGTGCTTGAATTCCAGGAAATATCAGGAGAAGTGTTTGTCTGAGGTGAAAATGAAAGAGGAGGGCTTGCACAAAAACTGCTCACAGCTGGAGGGAATCTTTCCCTGCTGATTTAATCCCTTCTGGAAAACCCCTGGGACACAGACAGTTGGTTTGGATACAGAGCTGGATTGGCATCATCAGAGAGGATTTACCTCCCTGAACCAAACACTTCATCCTAGCCTCATTTTCCACAATTTAATCTGGGAATGGCAGTGAAACATAAATTCCAAGCTATAGGAATTTGAAAGAATAACCTGGGATTAATCAGACTCAGGAAAAACCAATGGATAAAGAGTCTGTGTGGGAATGTTTCATGGAAACCTCAACCCCTGCTCACTTATTCCCCAGCATCTCCTGCTCTCCAGCAGGATGAGGAATTGGGAGTTATTTCTGTCCTGGGGGTCAGGGCCAGAGCATTGGATCAGGAGATGGGCGTGGATTTATTTGGAATTTTGCGTTTGAATTTGAATTTCTGACATTCGGCTCCGAGGTTTTGTTGTCATTCCTCAGCTCAGGAATATTATTTTGCTGGGATTTACATGGGGATGAGGTGGGGAAGGGGAATTGGGAGTGAAAAACAGCTTGGAATAAGGGAAAGGAGAGGAAGAACTTGGTGTGAAAAGAAACCTCAATGTTTTCATTGACCCAGCAGACAGTGCCAGGCAGCCCTCAGGAAAAACCACATCCCTAAATCCCTGAGGACACAAATTCCATGAGTCATGGCATCATAATAAAAATAATAATAATATCCCCTCCCATTTTTATTTATGGAAGATGATGCCTGGGAGCTGCTAGATATTGAACAAAGTCTCATTGTAACACTCCAGGTGATTTTTTTTCCCCTTTTCCCTCTCTTTTCCATGGCCCCGTTAATGCTGAGAAGGGACCACAATGAGAAGAACCCATTAAATAAATGAAGCTCAGCTCCTTCCCAGCCCCAGTTTTATTATTTCATCCTTATTATTTCTGTTAAATGGGAAAAACTCTCCTTTAGAAGGAAAAAAATCTCCATTCCACTCTTGGGTTTATCTTTGCTGCAAGTGATGCTGAGTTGAGGAGTGAAATGTGAGAGAAAAGCAGAGTTTGAGTTGACTTTGTGTGTTTATTTCTCAGCATTTTGCCTCATTTCTCTCTCACTTCAGCTCATTTGGCTGTTGCAGGTCAGGATTTTCACACAGCAGCTGAGGAGAGAAGAGAATTTGCTGGAAATAGAAACTTCCATGCCAGGCAGGAAAAGCATTTGGTAAATGGAGTTCCCATCTTGTGCCAGGTGCACCCCGAATCCCAGGATTCAACAATAATCCCCCAGTCTGACCCAGAAATAAATCTTTCCTCAAAGCACCAGCAGGGCCCAGAGGAAAATTTTTTCCCTTTAAATTTCTCTAAATGTCAGTGTTTTTATCTGAGCGTGTCTTTGTTGTCTGTGCTCCATTCCATGAGTGAAGCATCTCCATGAATTTTTTCTGGATGTTTTCCTGTTTTTGTGGCTGCTGGCCACTCACACCTGACTCCAAAGGTGGAGAGGGACTTGGGAGAGGGAAGCTGTGAATGTGTTGGAGGAGGCCACAGAGCTGCTCCAAGGGCTGGAGCTGCTCTGGAGCCAGGCTGGGAGAGCTGGGAATGTTCCCCTGGAGAGGAGAAGGCTCCAGGGAGAGCTCAGAGCCGCTGGCAGGGCCTGAAGGGGCTCCAGGAGAGCTGCAGAGGGACTGGGGACAAGGGATGGAGGGACAGGAGCCAGGGAATGGCTCCCAGTGCCAGAGGGCAGGGATGGGTGGGAGATTGGGAATTCCTGGCTGGAGTGAACAGGACAAGGGGAAATGGCTTTAAACTGGAGGAGGGTGGATTAAATGGGATATTGGGAAGGAATTCCTGGCTGGGAGTGTGGGGAGGGGCTGGAACGGAATTCCCAGAGAACCTGGGATCCAAGCACCTCTGGATCCCTGGAAGTGTCCAATAGATAGGTTGGACAACGGGGCTTGGAGCAGCCTGGGACAGTGGGACGTGTCCCTGGAAAGGATGGAAATGGGATGGGATTTCAGGTCCCTTCCACCCCAACCATTCCAGGATTCTCTGATTCCAAGGTGGCTCCTCCATTCAGTAAGAGAGGAAAATGCTGGATAGCATCCTTGAGGAACACCTCCACATCAGACTGGGGCACAGGGAGAGCCACTGAAACATTTTCCAGGGCTTAAAGTCAAGAGCACTGGCAGGTTGGGAAGGGTGTCAGGCTGTGTGAAAATCATGGAACATGAGAATTGTTGAGCTTGGAAAAATCCTCCAAAATCATTGAGTCCAACCCTCCCCCAGCACTGCCAAGGCCACCACTGCCCTGTGTCCCCAAGTGCCACATTCACAGGGCTCTAGATCCCTGCAGGAATGGGGATTCCATCCCATTCATGGACATCCTGTTCCATTGATTCCCTCCTGAGGGAATCCCATTGCAATCTTTATCGGATCCCTCCTTCTTTTCCATTGTAACAGCAGCACATTTTTAATTCCATTGGACTCTGCCTGTGTGACTTTCACCTTCTGGGAAGTGGAAACCTCATCCTTGGAGTTAATTTTTCCGAGGGGTGGGATTCCCTATCAGTTGAAATAGAAAATAATGACCGTGCTCAGCAGCAGCACAAAAGCTCTTCCTGGACAAAAAGCTCTCCAGGGAAATCCCTTTTTAAGGCCAGGATTGCTGGAAGTACCTCTGGATTATCCCTTTAAAAACTGTGTGTGAACTGTAGGCGTGGCTGCTAAAAAAAATAATTAAGGAATAAAAACAGAAGGAGGAAGCTCAGATTGGGAAATTAATGTTGCTTTTATGAATTAATGAACTTTTGTTGCTTTTTTAATTAAATAAAAATCCTGGGATTTTGTTCTCTACACCTGCCTTCCTTCTGCTTTCCTGTTCTTTATTCCAAAGCTATTTTTAGGAATTTCCCTTGGGGTTTAGAGGAGTAAAGGATAAAATTAAGGCTGGTTGGACATCAGCACCTCTGGAATGGCCCCAGATTGCATCAATTGAAATGTGAGCAGGGCTCCCATGAGCTGCTGAGCACCAGAGGCTGGGAAAGGCTCTGGAATTTTTTCCCAGAGGTGGAATTGGGGTTTGGTCACCCAGCAGGTCACTCCTGGCAGGAGGGTGAGCCGTGGCTCATCTGGACTTGTGGTCTCTGCCTGGAATCTTCCGGGATTGGTTGGGAATTCTAATATCCTAAAATGTTGGATTTCCCATGAAACTGGCACAAGGATCTTTTTTCATCCTTTCTTTCCTCTCTGTATCCTGGGAAGGGCTCCTAGGAAACAGAATTGAATAAATTTTGAGATGTGGATCTGGCATGTGTGGTCACTGCCTGAAATCATCTGGGACTGGTTGGAAATGCTAAAATCCTAAAATGTTCATTTTTCCATGGAAATGGCAGAAGGGGTGCTTTTTTTCTATCCTTGTTTTTTTCTTTGTATTCTTGGAGAAGCTCCCAGCAAGTGGGAGAATGGAATAAATTTTGGGATGTGGGTCTGGCACATGTGGTCACTGCATGGAATCTTCTGAGGTTGGTTGGGAATTCTAAAATCCTAAATGTTGGATCTTCCATTACATTGGAGAAGGAGGAGTTATTTCCATCTGTTTTTTCCTCTCTGTATCCTGGGAAAAGCTCCCAACAAATGGGAGAATGGAATAAATTTTGGGGTGTGGGTCCACAGTGGCCTTGGCAGTGCTGGGATAACACCTTGGCTCGG